GAAGTTAATTTCATAAAGATTCCGATGACGTTGAATTGAATGCGCACATTGATAAAAGCATGCAATTCACCTTTTACCATATGTATTGTCTAGAGACAATTTTTTTCTGAAAATCTACTTTCTTTCTAATGAACATGAAAAAGTACTATCCATCTTTTTATTTTTACAAAAACATGTAAACACAATAATGAAGAAAAAAGTACATTTCAATATGCACCTGAATGATAATCTTCAATTGTATCATTATTCATATTTTCATCATGACCAGAATCTTCATCACCGGCTATTTCTTGTTCTCGTCTTTTCCTCCATTGTGCTTCTTTTGGTACACGCTGCTTATCCATGCGATCAAAAGCAATATAAGAAAAATGACCCATTTCACCTACAAAACAGAGATATGGAACTAGAATCTTTGCATAGAAACAAATAATCTGAAACATACCTATTAATTCGTGTAATATTTCACCGATAGATAGGTAACCGTCATTATAGATCATAACAGCCAGTCCAATGCAAACTAGAAAGAAGAAAAAATATCCCATAAACTATAGTAATAGTCAAAAATCTATATTTTACATACTATCAATAATAGTTCCACTGCAATATCTGTTCTTAGGTGCCATGGACCATAAGAATGAGTGGAATGACTCATTAGCATTTTGGCTAGATCCATTGAGTACATGCTGTAATGTTTCTTCTAAAAAAGCATGATAAACAAAGAAGAAAAAATCATAATGATTAGGAACAACTTACTGGAAGCCAGATCTTCAAATACAGGTTTGATAGCTTCCATAACATATTTTGGCAAAGAGTGCTTCTGATGGTCATATTGTGTGCCTATTTTAGAATAAACATAAATATTTAGCAAACACCTAGAATAAATAATGTGGATAAAAAAAAAGAAAACTAAGTTTTAAAAATAATTTTGTAAAACCTGTTAGTAAAGACTTTCTGTAGTCACACCAATCGCCACACCAGTCATGATCAGGTTCTTCATTTGTCGATATCTAAAAAGTTATCAGTGTGATCACAGTGAAGCTTTCTTATTTTATTATAGTGTTTTCTCTTACTTTATGTTTATAGATTGCCCATGTACGTTTATGCATCATGTCTACGTCATTTTTATATTCATTGATGAGCACTCATCCTATTCCGCAAAGTTACACATTCCTGCATCGCATAAGGCCATCAAACCCATCATCATTCAATTCTGGAATTCCTGACATCCAATTCCTACCCATGCCATCGAATTCTACGGAATTCCTGCCAATTCCTGCATAGGCTGATGTATTCATCTTGAACTGAACATTGCTATAGAAATAAAGATGCAATTCCGTTTTAGAATTCCGGAATTGCATGGATATGGAATGACCAGGAATCCCTGCCAATTCCTGCATAGCTTGATGTATTCATGTTCAACTAAACCTTGCTATGGAAATAAAGATGCAATTCCGTTTCAGATTTCCGGAATTGCATCGATATGGAATGACCAGGAATTCCTGCATATTCCTGCATATTCCTGCATAGGTTCTTGTATTCATGTTCAACTGAACATTGCTATAGAAATAAAGATTCAATTCCGTTTTAGAATTCCGGAATTGCATCGATATGGAACGACCAGGAATTCCTGTATTTCCTGGTCATCGCTAATCTTTCATAATTCCGGAATTCCACTATCCATTCATTCAAGCTCTGTAAATGATCACTTACCCATCCATGAGATATTTGTAATTCCGGAATAGGCAGGAATGACCAGGAATTCCTGCATTTCCTAGTGTTTCCGGATATGCACAAGTTCCGGAATTCCGCTGTGCATTTATTCAAGCTCGATAAATGATCATCTAGCCATCCATGAGATATTTGTAATTCCGGAATAGGCAGGAATGACCAGAAATTGGATGTTGAGCGTTAGATTTGAAAGGAACTACGAATCAGGAATTCCTGGTTGTGGCATGTATTTGAGGGAAAGGGTCGTTTTAGATTTTCCGGAATTGATGGTAAGGAATTCCGGGTCAGAAGGCGATGCAGGAATGTGTAAATTTTGGGAACAGGAAGTATTCTCATTGCTTCCAAGAACAAGATATCAACAGAAACACATTATAAACCACCAAAACCCATATATATAGCGAACATGAAACACGGTCACCACAAACCAAATATATACAACGAAATGGTGTGGTTGCTCGGAAAGGAGTTTCAAGCAGAAAGTCCTGAAAGAAAGTGCTACTCTTCCCAGGTGTGGGTGTGACAAGCTGCCATGACACGTGTTTCGATCTTGCTCAAAGATTTCATCAGATGGCAATAGTACTAGAGAATTTCGAAGAAGAAATCCTAAGTACTAAATTAGATTATATTGTAAGTTGAAAATACGACCAAAAAAGGCTAGCAAGACCGGTTTTGATAAGCGCTCTAAGAGATCTTATCAATTGCTTTTGATTATAAAGATGTTACTGAAATGTGAACTCTCCTACAGCGAATGCCATTGTCACAAGTTTGATGAAGCAAACTCCCAAGCTGATGAACATTTACTTAAATATGTATATTATTGGGTATGTTAGAAGGAGTAACAACCCAACAAAAGTTTAAAAGAGATTCTTCAACAATTATTGTAAATTTGTAAAAATTTGTAAAAGAAAGATCCGAAATTCAGAGCATCACACGATCCGAATTTCGACCTTGCTTAAGGGTCTTCGTCAAGTATGTTTAGAATTTCATAATTACATGCAAGTCTTAATCCACTTAACCTAGATTAAGGTAATTAAGGTTCAGACGTAGTTCAATAACGACCTCAAGAATGTCACAATTTAGAACTCAAAGAATTGAAATTCAGAGCATCACACGAGACGTTTCCATCTTGCTCAAGGGACTGTAATTAAGTAGGTTTAGGATCTGAAGCTAAATGACAATGAAAAGACATCAGAATATGTGAAAGAATTCATCGATATGAGAATTGAAGTGAACAGTTTACAAGATGAAGTGCGATCGAAGGGGATAGAATCTTCATAATAGGAAGCTTTTCTTAAAGTGTCAGAGAATGTCGTCATAATGTTCACGATTATCGATAATTCGTTTGCATAGATTTCTAAGTCGTGTGTCTATAGCAAAGATAGTTCTACGACTTCCAGAAAGCTGCGTGATTCTCGGAAATGCTACATGATGCAACGTTCTTTGATATCTATTTTGTAGAGAAAACTTTCGGGCTATCTACTCAGGTAAAAAAAACTCAATATACTCGTATGACAACCTGAGCAGAACAGTGTAGCTTTTCACAGATTTTCTTCGAACTCGGTCTGAGACCTTTTCTCAGAAAAAATGTTTTGCTTACAATAACATGGCGTTGAAACTTCTCTATCAGACATTCAAAAAGCACTCGTTTTAATCTTTCTATCGAAAGTTATTCAAACAACATACATTTGCCTTGAGTTCTGTCTTGAGTATTAGTTAACATATATCGCGTCCTATCAAATTCTAAAGAAAATCACCTTGAAACTGTAAATAGACCGATACTCACCGTTACTCATTATTGGTGCTATGCTACCAACGATAAATGTTTACATATAATGACATATAGATCTATTGATAATCTTGTACACACGCATTGATATTAGATTATTCAGATTCTTATTACAACAAATCTATTTGTATTTTTTGACTTTCTTCAACAGAAACCATACATGTTACATATGTACTAGTGTTATCATACTATTATTGTACCAAAAGGAAGAAGAATGAACTATAATAAATGATGGTGGAACAAGTCAGAAAATTTTACACAGGTGATAAACGCAAGTTGTTTGATTCTGCTTTGTATTTCTGAATATGTTATTGGAATCATAAAATTTATTTGTGTTGCTATGTCGCCAGTTTATTAACTATTCTTTTCCATTTCTTGGATATGCTTTATTTCTGCTCTGTCTCTCAACAATTATGTCTATATTCCCTTTTTGACTGTTATTTTTTTTCAGCCTAAGTGTGATTTTTTCGTATTCTAATGTATATTTTTTCGTCTCAGTAAAATATGTGTGGTTTTCGTTTTTGTATCACCGAATGAATTTTGTCCATGACAATGAAGATGAGAATATGTCAAAGACTTCAATTTTTAGATGCAATAGAATTTTATATATAGTGCATATCCATACAAATTCAAGTACATGTACATTTACTCGTTTGAACAGAATATCAACTGTCTATAACACTGCGTCTGATAGATTCAACCATGTAGTATGTATAGTTATCTATTTACATCTGTATAGTTTTATTCAAGAACGAAGTCCTTCTTTCTGTAGATAATATTTTCTGTCATTGAAAATAGGTAGAATATATGAGACCTATATGTATCTAATGAGTTGTGTCCTTCAATTGTAATGTGATGGAGAAACAAAATTACAACTTACAGACTTTTTTATTCACGGAATGCAAATTTTTTTTTCGCTTATTTTACTGTTGCTGTTCGAATCAAAATAGGGAAAGGCATTGATGAAGGTTAAGTTTTATCTATTATATATATAACGACTTCTGATCAGTCTGTTTCATATTTTGTTGATCATTGTAGACAAGATAAAAAACACAATTTTTCAAGTTTTAGGTAAGATTTTGTGATTTTTTGCATTGTGTTTTCCCCATTACTCAGCCTTTTTATAGTATCTCTATCACCACCATCATTATCACCAATATAGTTTTCAAGAGAAAATATCTTATTATGCACGTCATTTCTATTTTTTGTCCATTTACGTAAACAACAAGTGACGGATAAAAAGAAATGAAGATCAAATTAAGATCATAAGAGTCTATTGTTCAGTATTATTATTGTTTTCATTGAGAGAATCGAACTATTATCCAAAAAGTCTCACACTTATATATATTCAGTGTACTTGATTTTGTAGTGTATTATCATGCTCCCATTGTTTCAACATAAACATTTTTCTATCAAACAGAAATACTTTGAGTAAAACTCACACAAGAATAGGGCCGTACTATAATCAATACACAACAAAAAGGACAACACATGTTGTCGTCGTCATCCAAACGCCAAGCAACGAATAGTAAACTCTAGGTAGCACCACAGAAAGTGCCAGTAGTGCTTGTGATCACTAAAACCATTGACGAAGGTTCGGAATAACATCAAGTACGAGTTCATCAAGTTCATAGCATTGAAAACATTAGCACAATTGCTTCTTATTCTCCATGATCTGGTAAAGTGATAGCTGATGCTGACGATAGTATTTATAAGCATATGAAACGAAACCAGTTTTATTAAATTATTATTAAGAACTTTTAGATTGAGAGCATTGACACGACGCGTTTCGACCTTGCTTAAGGGTCATCGTCAGGTATCTTTACAATTTAAAGTACATATTATCTAGTACTCTCCAAATACTGAAGTAGTAATAGATAAGACCGTACTCTAAAAGATCGGAATGACCGTGTGAAGTTGTAGTGAACATTTTGGAGCAGCGAAAGTACGCCATACTAGATTAGCTTGTGGGTGGTTTTCGGAAGGTTTTGGTAGGTGTGTCTGTGTATTAGAATAGATCGCCAATGCATGACAACAGTTGTTACTGTCCATGACGGGACTTCATCAAGTGGAATTCTTAATATTACGTCTACTTAGATAGTAGTTCAAGTAAGAATTATATAAACATGTGAACTACAATTTAATGTAATAATTAATATTTATATTCATTTGCACAAGTCAAAATTTTCGAAAGTTAAATTAACTTCAATGTATTCTTAGTCGGGTATATAAGCCAATATTAACTTGTGGAAGCTGGAAATTTCTAACAATGGAGGTAT